TCTTATTCTAAAAATATAATATTATTATTATTATAATAATAAGAATTATTTTATATTTTCTTTCTGGTTTTTTCTTTTATTAATAGTAAAGTTTCTTATCTCTTATTATTTTGCATTATAATATAATTATCTTTAAACTGTTTCTGTTATTAAATATTTATTAAAATACATATCAATATTTATTTATATTATTTATTACTTAATACTACCAAGAAATTAATAAATAAATATATATTTAATAATTTCCTAAAATATCTATATAATCTATTTTTTATTTTTTAATTAAGATCTTTTTTTCTCCAGGAATTTTATTATATTTAAAATATTTAAAAATATCTATTAAGAATTATATTAAAAGTTTTATAGAATTATTTATAATGAATTATATATTTAATATTATTTTATTAACAAAAATTACTAGATATAAGAATAATTGTTTTTTATAAATATTAATCTAAATAGATATAATATTAATTAAATTATTATTAAATTAGTAAGAATTCTTTCCTACTTATTCTTTTTTTAAGAAGAAAAAATTAAATAAAATAATAATTCTAATCTAAAACTACTTTTAATAACTTTATAATAATAGTAATTAATAAATTTATCAAAGTTAGAAAAATAATATTAAGTTAAATATAGTTTTATTATAATTATTAAAAACCTACTATTATAAGTATTTATTATAACTTTTCTTTATTTTATTGACTATTTAGTAGAAAAATACTGTAGTATATTATAAATAAGTTTTATTATATTCTAAGAATTAAAATTAAAATTAATTATAAATATTTATTATTATTACCAGAAAATATAATTTATATATTATAATATCTTATCTAAATAATATTATCTTAAAATTAAGATATTTCTATATTAATAAATAAAAAGAAATATATTACTAATATAGAAAACTTATTTTCTTACTTTATTCATAACTTATATTAATTATTTTATTTTAATATTATTTTTTATAAATAATATCTTATTTTTTAAATTTTTTATAATTCATCTAAAATAAGTATTAACTAAATTTATATATAGGTTATATAATGATTGAAATTATAACAGAACCAGGTATATTTTATTATTATTTTATATTATTTAGATTTATAATTATGTATTAAAAGTTTAGTAATACTTTATTTTATTATTATTTTAAATATATATTATCTATCTATTTATCATTCTAATGACTAGATCTAGCTAAAATTTCAATAACCAAATTTAATTAAAATAATAGAATAAAATAAAAAGATTAATATTACTAGTAAATATAATATTGTGTTAATTTTATAAAAAAGATAGAGGTATTTTATTATAGTTTTTATTATAAAGAACATACTATTAAAAACTAGGTTATTAATATCTAATATCTTATTTAAAATCTTTAATATAATAAATAATAATTATAATAATAATATTATATAAATATTTTAATTATATTTAATTTATTATTTAATAATATTAAAAAAAGAATCTTACTTTAATTATAATGAAATATTTTTATAAAAAATCTAAATCTAGTATTTATATAATATTAAATAATTTTATAAAACTTATTGTTATAAAATTAATTAATTAAATTATAATTTATATATTAGAGTTTTAGTAATAAAATAAATTAATGAAAATAGAAAAATTTATAATAATTAAATTAATAAAAATCACAAAGACTTAATAAAGTAATTATAATTTAAAAACTTAGATATTATATAATCAAAAATTATTATTTATATATTAGTATATATCTTATAAATACACATAAAAGTATTAATTAATATAACTTTTAATGTAGTCTATAATAATAATTACAAGTATTAAAAATATTATTAAATATTTTTATAATATTTATGATATCAGATATATTAATATAATAAAACTAATATAATTTATATATTAAATATTTAGGGTATTTAATAATATACTTAAAAATTAGTATAAAAATATTCTTAGAATATTTTAAAATATCTTTAATAATATTGTAAAACTACTTATTAACTTAATTTTTAAATATTTAATTAATTTAATAATATTATAATTAAAATTAGTATTAATATCTATTAAAAAGATAAAAAAAATAAAAATATTTATAAATTATAATATTTTTATAAGATTTTATATATTTTATAAATTTCTCAAATTATTCTAAAGAATATTCTTTATAATAATTAAATAACAATCATTTAATATAATTATAGATAAAAAATAAAAATAATAAACTTAAAATAAATTTTACGAAGTAATATAATATAATAAAACTAAAGAAAAATATAAATATAAAATAAAAATAAAATTAAAATAAATAAATAATACATAAGTTATTTAACTAATAAATAATCTAGTTAGAATATTAAGATATTAAATAATATAAAAATATATTTAAATTAATAATACTAATGTTATTCTATTCAAAAATAATAAAATTTAGAATTACTGTAATTAAACTACTAGATTCTTTAAATAATATAGGATAAAATATAAAAGTAGATATTATAATTTATAATCTAGATATATTAAACTATTTTAATATAATTAAAATTATAGAATATATATTTTTTATAATTATTTTAATTTAATAAAAAACTCTAATACTTATTAAAAAACATAGATTTAATAATTGATTAAAATATAGTTTAAATATATAAAAATAATTAATAAATTAAATAAAGAAATTAAGAGTTTTTATATAATATAAATTTATTAATATTTTAGAAAATAAAATAAATATAATATTTTTAAAATTATAAGGTAAATATAATAATAAAAAAAGAATAAATTTATTATAAAAAGTTAGTATTAAGATATTTTTAAAAAAAAACTAAAAATCAGATATATAATCACTAATAATCTGATTAATTAATTCCATAAAATTTTAAAATAATTATTAAAAATCAGTATTATAAAATATTATTAATAAATAAAAATAATATAATATAAATATTTAATATAATATAAAAAAAAGAATTTATTAAAAAATTTAAATAATACTAAATTCTTAGATAATATATTAACTTAAAATTATCAATAATATAATAAATTAAATAATAAAATAAATAAATTAGAATTAAGATAAAAATAATAAATTATAATTAAAAGATCAAGTACTTTATAATAGTAGAAATATATATTATATATAAAATTATAATATTAAATAAAGAAAAAAATATTAATATCTTTTATAAATCTAGTATAAAATAAATAAGAAGATTAGTATATATAGAAATTAGAGAATATGAAATAATAAATTAATTAGTATAAATCTTAATAATATATCTTATATATTAAGAAACTATACTATACTATTATATATTATAGTAGTATAATAGCTGAGAAGTAAATAAATAAAAAGATTAATTAGAAGATGAAATCTTAGGAAAAATTAAAACTTAGAGATCTAAGAAGTCTTCTACTAATATAGTAAAGAAGACAGTGGGAAGACAGAACAGTAGAATTCTTGGTTAAGCCAAGGTTCACTACATAATTAGGTTATAAAATCTATGATAATTAGATAAATTTCTATAAAATGGATTAATCAAATTTAAATATGAAATATTTATCTAGTATCTTTAACTTCATGATATAAAAAATTATATTTATTATAGTATTAATTGTGGCACTCCGCAGGGCTGCTAGCGGCCAAGTGGCTCTTACCTTACAGCTTCTCTCTTCTGTCTCCTTCTTTCATATATCCAACCTTCATGGATTTCAATGCGCGGAATGAGGTATACAGAATCATAAATGAATCCACCTTATCAATTGTTATACATCTTCTTTTTAGACTGGATACAACATTAATTATTATTTATCCCTAATATTGGTAATCTTCCTTATTAAGAAAGTCGATAATAGAAAACAAATAGAATATATAATAACTCATGATAAATTTTTATCATAAATAGATTTTATATATGTTTTTTATTTCTATAATAAATAATTAAGATAATGAACAGTATTCAAATATTTTAAGGAAATTGATATTGTTTTTAGTATATTCTAGGATATTATTTAAAAATATTACTAATAAGACTAATATTAGTATTTCTATCTATCTTATTATTAATACTGATTCTGCACCCTATTCTACCACTGCAGATTCTGGCATAGATAATATACATAGATTACTATCTGACGAAGACATGCAACTTAATAACTATTTCTCTAACAAAGACATATATATAGTAATCTGTGGCGTTCCGCAGGGCTGCTCAGACAGCCTAGTGGCTCTTGCCCCATGGCTTCCGCCTTCTGCTTTATTTTCTTTTATTATTAAACTCTATATATTTAATCTTTATATATTCAATCATGAACTCTACCCATAATATATTATATAGAATTAATCAAGTATTTCATCATCGTCTTACGTCTTTTGCCTTGACCGGATACTACATGTATTCCTGCTCCCAACATAATATAAAAGATATACTATATTTTCTCGTATTGACTTCTATAAAGTGTTAAATTAGAGATTCTCTTTGTTTTAAAATAAGCTTATAGCTATATAAAGCTATATACAAGATTATATAGAATAATATCCAGAATTAGTAAAGATACATGGAGTTGAATATCACTTCTTATATAAAGAATGCAATGCACTGCTGGCTTAAGTAAGCCGTTCGCTTACCGAATACATTGCTGAACTTCGAAAAATATACTTCTCAGCCTCTTATAGTTAATTGGATTTGAACCTCATCTGGGCTCTTGTGCTTAGAAATTTACTGGAAGTAGTTACCAGGTAGGTCACCCTGAGACTGCCACACCCTACGTACTTCTTTGATGGGTACACCATTCGCGTCGGACCTAAAATAACATTACGCTTCTATTAGGGAAATTCCTCGAATGACTCGCGGAGTTAAACACCCACGTGAGTGGGGAAAAGATGGGTACGGATATATACTAATTCCGTACAGAAGTGATTAGATCCAACGAAGGTTTCAGCGAATTTCTTGAATCGAATTGACCAGGTATATTTATTCTTTGCCTCAATGGTAATCGGCACCATGCCGTCAACTAATAACGATGGATTTGACTTGCCACTTGCGAAAAGGCAGAAACGGACAGATAGTTCGCAGGCTGAGCGGCAAGTGCAATCACCTGGGTCTAAAATATTTTCACCCTATCGGGTAAGACATACGTTGGGCTTCCAACTTGCACGCAATTTCTCCATCCTCAGAAGGACAAAGAAGACGCTAATATTCGTGCAGACCTTAGGATTGATTACGACTAAAATTCCCTTTACCTACGTTCGATTGGGTAAGTCTACCTATCAGATTACTACGTCCGTTGGACGCAGCTTGCAAACTTATGACCTTCGGCGCGGACTCAGTCTACTCTTCGTGAGCAGACCCCAAACTCCAGACATTATAACGGCTACATTCGCCTGGCATGATATGGTTTTTGCGGCATGGGGAAACCTCCGACCTGGCTCTCGGGGGGGTGTTTGGGTTTTCAAGCGCGGCAAAAAGGTCGCATCCTTGGACGTGCCGCCAGGGGTCACTGATCCGATCGTTCGCCTGTTGGTTTTCGGTTCATGGGTCATTGGCAGCAGCGCCAAATGCATATTTGTGTGGAAAAACTCATCATATCAGCATTACGCAACCCTTCTTCCGCAACAGACGAACGAATCATCCATAGGGCAGATCTACACCGGACAGATCTGCAACATGCCGACTTATCTGAACAAAATATTTGTTGGGAGGTGCGATGGCAAGGTCGAGATCTGGAATGTCAAATCGGGAAAATTAATCCATACAATATCGCCGGCGTCCTCGTCCGCGGGAGCTGTGACTGTCTTGCAAGCTAGTCCTGTCCTGTCTCTAATTGCAGTTGGCTACAAGAACGGTCCTATCTCCGTGTGTGACGTGCGGACAGGCCAAGTGGTCTTATCATTACGAAGTGGCACATCCCACTTGCCGGGAATCACATCTCTCACTTTTCGAACAGATGGGCTTGGTGCAGGCCAAGACGGTCAGATTCCAGGTGTCATGGTAACGGCCTGCGAGGAAAGTGGTGATATAACTATGTGGGATCTGAATAACGGTGGCAGAGTATCTGGTGTTCTCCGCCACGCGCACGGGGTCTCTAGCGACGATACGAGTTCTGGCGTCAGTCATGTCCAATTCATGGACGGTCAACCTGTCTTGGTTTCATCAGGAGGGGATAACTCTTTGAAAACGTGGATTTTTGACCAAACTCCGTTCTCGAGCATTCCTAGACATCTTCATTCTAGGAGTGGTCATTCGGCCCCAATCACAGCTGTTGAATTTTTACCTGCCGCGTCCGATGGATCAGAGTTTGGAGGCAAGTGGCTGCTTAGCGCAAGTAAAGACCGCAGTTTGTGGGGCTTCAGTGCTCGCAAGGATAGCCAGAATACGGAGATCTCTCAAGGCTCCCTCCAACACAAGATGAAGAAAAACGCGGCCTCGAACACGACCAACAAGCTTCTTCGTGGTGATTCGGATATTCACTTCAAAGCTGCAGAAATCACTTGTATTGCCTGTTCCCTCAATCGCGATGGTGGAATGGGGACGACGACATCAGGCCCCGTATGGGCCAACCCGAAGGTGACAAGGACAGACGATTCTACCAGGACTGGCTGGGAAAGTATAGTGACTGGCCACCGCGGAGACAAATATGCTCGAACATGGTTTTGGGGCAAAAAGAAAGCCGGACGTTGGGCATTGGAAACTGGTGATGGGACCGAAGTCAAAGTCAGTATGATCCAGATTTAGATCACAAGTTCCTGATTGCTAACCACTATGCTAGAGTGTTGCTATTTCACAATGCGGAACGTTCGCAGTAATCGGGTCTGCAGGAGGCAGCATAGACTTGTTCAATCTGCAATCTGGTGCTCACCGTCGAAGCTTTCCAGTTCGACACTCGGGGGTCAGTCCGAAAGACAAGACTCTGCCTCCGTATATGTTCCTTGGAAGCTCGACGAAGCATAGTAAGGCAGTCACTGGTTTGATGATAGATAATTTAAATCGGTTCGTCGTGAGCTGTGGACTAGACGGGAAGGTTAAGGTAAGACAAAATACGATCACTCATGTTTCTGATGCAGTAACTTACCACAGTTGTCTTTCACATAGTTCTGGGATCTCGTTTCGGGATTATTGGTTGATCAGCTTGACTGGTATCCAATGACATCAGTAAATGGACTTCGCTACAGCAGGACAAGCGAGCTTGTTGCGCTAAGCTGTGACGATCTATCCATCCGCATTGTCGACGTGGAAACTAGGAAGGTAATCAGGGAGTTCTGGGGCTGTGTAGGCCAAATCAATGATTTCTCATTCTCTAATAACGGTCGCTGGATCATTGCCGCATCAATGGACTCTACAATTCGGATCTGGGACTTGCCGACGGGCCATCTAATCGATATCTTCCGTGTTTCCAGCACTTGCACCTCAATTGCTATGTCGCCAACGGGCGAATTTCTTGCAACTGCGCATGCAGATGGCTTGGGGATAAGTCTTTGGTCCAACAAAAGCTTATTTGTACCTATATCCACCCAGAATGTGGACGATCGCAACATTAACAACCTTGGTCTCCCGGCTTCTTCCAGTGAATACGGGTCAGGGGTGATCGAGGCTGCTTTCTCTGAAGAAACCGAGCAAGATGAAGCAGACGGCCCATTACCAACCGTCGATCAGCTGAGTGGAGATATGGTTACACTAAGTGTGGTTCCAAAGAGCAAATGGCAGACCTTCCTTCACCTGAATTTAGTCAAGGTATTTCTCACCCATTGTCCCTCGTATTGCTTGAGGGCTCTTTCCACTTGCTATATTGATCCTTGTCCTTCTAACCATTCAATAGGAGCGAAACAAACCAAAGGAGGCCCCCAAAGCCCCTTCGAAAGCTCCTTTCTTTCTCTCCAGCCATTCCATGTCTTCGACTGCAGTGACTGAATCTGCGAGATCTTCGGAATTACCAGTCGCTGAACGGTCAAGGATCTCGAAGGTACAGCGCAGCGGGGAAAGCGGTCTCACGGGCTCCACATTCAGCAGTCTTCTGCAATCAGGCCATAGCGCACTTGACTTTAACTCCTTCATTGATTACCTCAAATCCATGCCTCCAGCGAAAGCAGATCTTGAAATCAGGTCGCTAGATCCCCAGGAACAGTCAGGTCGCTCCGAACTGTCGGACTTTGTCGTGGCACTTTCGTCTCGTCTTAGTGAGAGGAGGGATTTTGAACTTGTCAATGCTTGGATGGCCGTTTTTCTCAGGACACATGCAGATTCTGTGGCGGCTTGTTCCGGTCCTGACGGCAACAAGAATCATCCTCTGAAGAAAGCTCTTCTTGTGTGGAGCCAAGCACAACGACAAGAGGCTCAGCGCTTAGCAGAATTGGTAGGGTACTGTCGGGGTGTGGTGGGATTTTTGAGGTCTGCTCGTTAGTTTGTGTACAACTGCCCCGATATTTTACCAGGATCATAAATGTGATGTGTTCGCTTTTACTCTCTTTCCAGTTTGCTTGCATTGTCTTCAAATCTCAATTTAGTGGAGGGGTTAGTATAAAGGACACGAACCCTACGAAGAGAGAGCGTCACTGCCGTGAGAGAAGCTCGAAAATATTCGATGGCTTTGCCCGCGAAGTACGCTTTACCGCCGTCGGGTCATGAAGAGATCCCTGGTCTTCTGGTCTCGGGAATTCAGCGATGTTGGAGGACATTTGCGGCTCTGGGGCCCGGCAATCGCCGTCGACGTTTGCATCCCACAACATCATTGATCGATTCACAACTTCCTCAGCGGAGATGCCCGATGTAAACTCCTCTTTAATCTCGTATGCTGACTTCATCAAGATATGCAGCGGAGGTAAATGACTTAGGAAGGTAGCTGCTCGTGTCGTCTGTCCACTGGAAACGTGTGATAGTCCAAGTAACTGGTTGAGCATCCTTAATGAGTAAAGCACACACTGAATCTGGGCTACGATATGAACATCGTCCCAGTCCAACTTATGACCCATATACCCGGAGGTCAGCAGGTGTTTCAGCTGACCCGGCTTCGGGGCTTTAGACGTCGTCTGTTGTGCCCATATAGTGTAGAGCGCAAAAGTCCTCCAATAAAAAGGGCAGTCAATCTCAAGGCCAGTCTTCACATGGACGGCGTGTAGTAGGTCGAGCAAAGATTGAATCTTTGCCAGTACCCACGATCGACTCTCAAGAGTGATTTGATCAGCTGTAATTCTCTCACCACGCCTAACGTATTCAGCAATGTACTCATGCCTCTTGTCGGACGGCTGTGACAGATTGAGGACAGAATAGCCTATGACTCTGATCTCACGCCCATGCATCCAAGCGCATTGCCGCTTGGGATCCTCATTTGGAATCACGAGATACATGCTCAATGAGTGTTCGTGTAAATAGGTCTCCGGGAATATATGCTGAGATACCAATTCTGAGACTCTGGTATCGAGTGACTGAGGATATCGATGTTCAATGTTGTCAATGAGAGTCTTTGATGGAATCTGGTATTGATATTCCCTTGAAAAGTGAGTATAATCTGAGACAAGGGCAGGTGCCTGGTCTAAGATCTTTGACCGCTGGATTAGCTCTTTAATCCCAATCCCTGGGTTTGAGTATAATTCGAACGCCAGTGGTAGCAAGGTTGTTAATCCCAGTCGGCGCGCGATGGCATTAGGACACAGTCTTTGAGCTTTTATCAATGTCTGTGGGTTTGTGTGCCCCGTGCTTATGGAATTGAGAAATATAACTGACCCTGACGAGCCTATATCATACAAGAGCAGGTCTGAATCATTGGTAAGTATTGAAGAACCATTTTTCATGGCTAAATAGGCACAGTAAGCGTCTGCCTCTCCTGGGACCATTATGGTGACTTTGGCCCAAGGAAAGCTCTCGAGATGATCTACAGTCATGCTCATTGAAGAGGTGCCCCGAATTGCTTTGTGTATGTTCTCCCGACTCCAACGTTGTCTGAGGTCTTCATAGACCGCGGGAACAATGAAAGGATTATCCGGCACCAGATTGAACTTGGGCGGAAGGGTTTGGTTTAGAAATAGATTTCCGAGCCGGTGTGCGATTGGCTCCTTCGCGGTAGAAGGTATCACTGGAATAGCTAATTTGCTAGCGCGAAACACCTGAAGTCTTTTTCTTGTTTTTTCCAGGCGAGCGAGCCGTGTCTCCTGCTTTGAAGGTGGCAAAGCCCCATCGAAACATATTTTGTCTCTAGCGGAATATGGGATCAGCGGGACGACTTTCATAACAGTGTAGTATGCATGATATACATCTTCACACCTAACATTGTCAAATGCAGGAGAAATTTCATGACCCCATGGCTCACTTCATCGCAGGTTGGTTGTATATCGGGGTAGCCAAGTTCTGTATGAGACCACGATAGCAGACGATGGTGAATATGGTACACAAGACTAGGCCCATCGATTACCACGGATTTCACATTGGCGACTCCTTGCCCTGGATATTTCTCATCCTGTAAAAATATTGTTTCTGCAAATGGCTCCAGGTGGTGCCTAAGTCGTAATATACCCATTTTCTTGATCGCGTGTTGGTTTAATTGGGAGTAGTCGTGATACAGTAGCCGGTAATAGACCAGGAATACTTAGTAACTCTTCGCTTCGCTGCTCCACAAACACATGGATGGAATTATCTCAGCCAGCTCAGCCCCTCTGGACATGGAAGCGCCGTCTTAGTAAAGTTATATAAAACTTAACTTATACCTTAGCTAAGCTGATTAGGAAAAGATAAAGATATATTAAATTCTATTGGAATATATTAAAGTAATGAAAGTATATTATAATAATAATTTCTTATTTAAAAATATAATATATAATTTTACTTTAACTAATGCAAGCCTTGGGCGCTCGCTTCACTCACTGGCTTGAAGAGGGGGGGGGGGGGGGGTGTTCCCGGTATCAGTGGCAGAAGCTGGTAAGCCATCTGGTACTAGAATATTCTATATTCTAGTCTATATGGATTCTTTATTTATATAGAAAATTCCAAAAAAGAAAATACTAGTAGAAAACTTAACTAGAATCTTATATAAAGATATAGAGTAGCTTAACCTGACTGTTATATCTTAATCTTAACCTGACCTTAATCTAGTAGTTAGATTAAGATATAAAAATCAGATTAATTACAGATATAATAATTAATTATAATTAATTATTTTATCTAAATTAGATAAAAATTAAGTAGAATTAAATAAAATTAAATAAAAATTATATAAAGATTAAATCAAAATATTTTATTTATATCTATTATTTTCTTAAATAAATTTAGTTATTAAGAAATTTAATCTATAAATTAATTATTAGTTAATCTAGATAGTAATATATTTTTTATACTTAATTATTAACCTATAATTAGGTATAAAATTTTAAGTAATCTAACCTAATCTAGCTATTAGCTACTCTATAAAGATATATATTAAGATTTAATAATCTTAATATCAGATAAATTTTTAAATAATTTTATTTTTTCAATACTAGTTTTTATTTTAGGAAATTATAATTATTTTATCTTTAATATTCTAAATAATTTTATATCTTCTTAATTAAGAGAGTATGAATAGGGAAAAACTAAAATCTAATAATTAAACAAATATAAACAAAAAAGTACTTTACTTAAATTGAAAGGATTATAATAGATATATATATATTTAAAATAAAATTTATAATTATTAGTCTTGATTAATTATGAATTTTTTTAAAGTTTATTAAAATGAATTATTATAATTATTTTTTAAATATTTTATATTTATATTAATTATTTCTAAGATTAAGATAATAGTGAATAAATGTGTCTTCTTAATTTTGACTACTTAATAATAAGAATAAAGATTTCTTTTTATATTTATTAAATATAATCTAAATAAGAATTAATATTAATTAAAAACTCATTAAAAATACTTAAAAATCTAAATTTAGTATATTCTTAACTTATTTAATCAATTTTTTACTATTAAATAATAAGATTATAATATTAAATAGAGTAGCTAACAGCCAGGTTAGATTAGATTAATTAAATTTTTATACCTGACTATAGATTAATAATTAAATATAAAAAAATATATTTTTATTTAAATTAATTAATAATTAATCTATAAATTAAATTTTTTAGTAATTAAATTTATTAAAGAAGATAATAAATTTAAATAAAATATTTATATTTAATTTATATATAATTTATATTTAACTTTATTTAACTTTATTTAATTTTATCTAATTTTATCTAATTTTATATAATTTTATCTAATTTTTATTTAATTTAAATATAATAATTAATTATAATTAATTATTATACCTATAATTAATCTAATTTTTATATCTTAACTTAACTATTAGATTAAGATTAGATTAAGATTAAGGTATAATAATCAGGTTAAGCTACTCTAATACTAAATTAATTTTGAAATTAATTAATCACTAATTAAAGCTAGCACTTATTTATAATTAAATATAAATAAAAAATACATATTTATCAAGAGTTTGAATAATAAAGTTTATTATTAAATAATAAATATAAAATATAAAGAAAAATTTAGGGATTTCTATATATGAATATAATATTTATCAATAATAATTTTATAGAAGTTAATTAACTAGTTAATAAAGATAACTATTTATTCTTATAATTAATAACTTATAGGTTATCTTTTGAAATAAAGTAAATTAAATTTTTATTATAACTAATATTAAACCAATTTTATATATTTAATAAATTATATAAAAAGAAAAATTATATATTTTAAAAAAATATTTTCTATTATAGTATTTCTAAATACTAAGTTTTAAATAAAAAATCTTTATTATAGTTTTTAAAAATTCTATTAAACAAAAACTCAAAAATAAATCTATTAAGTTTAAAAGTAGGGTTCTTGATAGAGTGGCTTAACCTGACCGTTATACCTTAACCTTAACCTGACCTTAACCTGGCGGTCAGGTTAAGGTATGAAAATCAGATTAACCGCAGGTATAACAGTTAACCGCGGTTAACTGTTATACCTGAATCAGGCAGAAATCAGGCAGAATCAGGCAAGAATCAGGCAGAAATATTCTGCTATTTTATACCGCCTTCTTAAATAGGCTTGGTTACTGAGAAATTTGACCTGCAGGTTAACCGTTGGTTAACCTGGGTAGGAATATATATTTCTTATACCTGACCATTAACCTGCGGTCAGGTATAAAAGTTTTGATTAACCTGACCTGACCTGGCTGTAAAGGGAAAAGGTCAGCTAGGTGTAGAATCAAAGTACTGGTATCATATAAACATAGACTAATCCTTGCCTTCCTAGAGTATAGCAAGGCCTGGATATTTAAGATATAAATTTTACTAAATTATTAATATTATAACTATTTTATAATTAAGGTATAAGTATTCTGTTATAGTAACTACTTAGTTATATAAATTAACTATAATAATTTAACTTTTTCTTAATAGCGGCTATCCTCAGCTGTAAGATAGTAGTATAATATTATTAATTTAATAGTTAAACTAACTATTTTTATAAATACAGTAACTAATAGCAGAAAATAATAATACTAATCTATATTAGGTTAGTATATCTCTAACAGTACTTTTCTATTTTAGGAATAAATTATACAAGTACTGTATAACAACCTATTTATTATTTAGTTTTCTTTTTCTTAGACTTTACTTTCTTGAATTTATATATTTTTCATAGGGTATTTACTAAGTTTTTAGCTAGTAACTATTAGTTATATTTTAAAAACTATTTTTTCTATTTTATAAAATAGAATTAATTATTTTATAATATTAGATTATCTAGTACTTATTTTATTTTCTACTTATTATTATTATCTAGATTAAATATAAGTAATAATTTAATCTTATTTTCCTTAGTCTTCCAAAGTTTTAGAAGAGATATATAAAAGATATTATATAAATAATTATATTTTATTAATAGATATAAATAAAATATTTATTTTCTAATTATATTTATAACTTAGAATAGTTTAATAAATTTAAGTACTAGTTTATAAATTATTTCTTCAAACTTTAGATTTTTAGTAGATAGTTTAACTAAATTATTTCTCTTAAAAGTATATATTATTTTATTTCTTTTTTCGAAGAATAGGGTACTATAATAATTATTATAATAAAATACTTATTTTTTAATAGTTTTTTACTAATTTTAATATAGATTTTTTTAAAAATTATTAAGTTTTTTTAATTTTTTAATAGTAAATAATATCTCTACTTTTATAAAGTTATTTTTAATCTATAGTTAAAACTCTAGTATATAATTTATAAAAATTTTAAAAAAAATTATCTTAATTAATATATTTTTATAACTATTATAAATAAATTTAGTTTTAGATAATATATTAATCTAATAATCTTAGTTTTCTATAATAAAATATCTTAAATAGTATTCTAAAACTTAATTTACTTTTTTAATTTAGTTATTAATTTAAGAGTAGAATACTGTTAATAATTTTTTTTTATCTTAGTTTAAAAATAAAAATTTAACTAAAATTAATTAATAAATATAGATTTTCTATTAGTAACTATATCTATAAATAATTTATATTTTAATTTAATTTCTTGATAGAAGATATCAGCTAATTATTTTATATTTATTATATATAATATAAATAAAAAATAATATAGTTTTATAAAATAATTAATAATAATAAATATTAAATTAATTTAAGTTTCTTAATAATAGAGCTTTAATAATTTAGTAATAAAATCTATAATAATTTTAGCCCAGGATTATAATAAAATTAATAGATTTTTAAACTTTTTATATAACTAATATCTAGGAACTATTTAATATTAATAAATTAAATATATTATTATATATTTTTTTATATACTTTTATAAATTTATCTAGTAGAATTTTTTTAAATAAATTATTTTATTTTATTTTTTCTAAAATAGCCTACTAGCAGATTATTATAATAATATTATAAAATCTTTTTATAGAGATTATTTAATTTAGGTATATATAATCTTTTTTTAAAATATAATAGTATATTAGTAGTAATATTCTAATTCTTTAGTTTAGAAATAATAGTTTTTTACTATATAATATCTAAGTTCTTAAACTATAATTATTTAATTAAACTTCTTAGATTTTTATTAATTTTATTATTATAAATATTCTTAATTTTATTAGCCTGTTTTACTATTAAAATCTTAATAATTTAGATTAGATTTAATATATAGATTATAATCTAATTAACTAATTCTATATTAATAAATTCTATAGAATTATTTAATACTATATAAATACTAGATTTAAGTCTTTTTTATAAAAATATCTTATTATATTTAAACTAGGATTTCTCTTTAGATATTACTAAATAATAAACTAAATATACCTAAAATATTTATATAATATTATTATTATAATTATTATTTATTATATTAAAAAGTCTAGATAAGATATTAATAAAATTAATTTTTTCTAATTTATATTTAATAATAAAGTTATAAAATATTAATCTTATATATTAATATACTTAGTATTTATTTAATTATAGTTAATTTATAAAAGCTTAG